GTGAAACAAATAACATGTGATATAGTTTGTATTAAGGGCTAATTTGCTCAATAACAAACAAAAATTAATATCTAGGAAACTAGCCAAAATTAACCCATGTGGCATAATCATATCCATTGAAATTAGGTTAATTTGTTAGCTTTTTAATTATTATTTTTTGTTGGTTATATAACCCAAAAAAGTGATTAGCCTCCTCTCCATTGGCCACTTCTTCCTTTTATACTTACTCTTCAGGCTTCAATGTTGGATCGTAGTCTTTAGTATCAATGTGCTCATTACTGTTAAAATCAAGTAAAGCCCAACAAGTTAGTGCTTTAGGCATCTAAAGTGATGACATAACGGTTGCGAGTTTGACTCTTGTTTTTGCATTTTCGGCACTTTTTTTATTTGGCAAATGTGTTTTTGTTTATGGACTCATTTTTATTTTGCTTTAGAGCTCGATATATTGCGGACCTCAATGGGCATTTCATAGCTTAAAATCAAGACATTTCAACAATGACTTTTGACATTTTTATCATGTATATGGCCTTCAACTATTGGTGGGAAACAATTCGTTGGGCCTTGATTTGAGGGTTTTGCCCCCTTCAAATGCCAATTAATAACCAAACCAAAATCGATGTATAAACACATTCGTTATGTTTTTTCTCAACTCGATTGATTCGGTTTGGTTTCAAACTGAATCGATAAACCAATATGCTTTAATTAATTAAATATAATGAATAATATTATATAAATATATAACCCTAAGGTAATCACTGTTCAATATTTTTTCTTGTAATCAGTTAATTAATATTAAAAAACAAAAATTAGCTTACTGGAGTATTTGTACCACAATATCTTGTTCCACATCAGTACATTGGTTACTTAAAGCATATGGTTTACTTTAGAAACATGAAGCATATTGGTTTATCGATTTATATCTAATATGTTTTCGTATTGAGGTTCATGTACCACATCAGTTTAATGTACGGAAACAAAATATAAACTTATTTTCAAAATTTTAATTCGACGAACTCATATAAATTTTAATTCGATGTTACTGAAAGACATTAAAAACACTTGCATTCAATTTTTTTTCGATGAGTTTTTTTTTTGTCTACTCCGTTTGTGTTTCTAATCGACCGTACCAATGACTATAATATTTTTCTCTTCTAAAATAAAAACAGATAATTACAAAAATTATCTGATTTGATTTTTAATGAGATAGAAGTTATAGAGGCGGTTAAAATAAGTTAAATAGCTTAGAAGAGAAAAGTGGAAATTTAAGAAAATTAATGTAATTTTTTCTAAATTGTCTATGGAACTAGCAATTATTTTTGGGTTAATTACAAAAATGTGACTTTTGGTATATCAATTTTTAAAAATGCCACTATAGGTTTTCTATTTGCAAAATGTCACTAATTAAATATTTTTAAAACCCAAATCTTAAAATTTAAACCGTAAAAAGATTTTGACCTCAAACAAACTCTAAACCCTCAAAACTAAACCCTACTACAATATAATTAACTCAAATATAAATGATATATTAAGTAAATTTGAAAAAGTGGTCTTTTTGCAAAGATTTTGGAAATTTTTTGAAAAGTGCCACTTTTGAAGTGCCACTATTTAAAAATACCACTTTTTCAAAATCTTTGCAAAAATACCACTTTTTCAAAATTATTTAGGGAGTTTTTGAAAAATACAGTATTTAAGTTTTGAAATTTGAAAATTACATTTCTTTTTTAGGAGTAATTACAAAAATGCCACTTTTTGTATCCACATTTACAAGAATGCCACTTAGGGGTGTCCATTTACAAAAATGTCACTAATTATAGATTTATAAAGCCTATATCATAAAATTCTAAACCCTAAAAAATGTTTTGACACCTAAAACCCCTTAAACACTCAAAACTAAACCC